GAGAGGCTTGCAATGTTTTGTCGGTGAGGTAAGGGGTTGTAGTGTGGAAAATAATTCATCATCCACAAGGCTTCATAGATGCTTTTGGACTTTGTCGAGTCTGGAAGGGAAGACTGGGCAGCTCCTGCATATATATGGCAGCAGTTCTCCCCCTTTTCGGCCTTATCTGGCTCTTGTAAAGGTAGAGGAGAGTAAGAGTCAAGTACTTACTGGAACAATAGAGGGAACCAACCAATAATCTTAATGTAATTATTTTTAAGGTGAAAATGTATTAATTTCAGTCTTCACTGTAAAATTATGTTCATGATCATACAATATACCTCCTTTCCTAACAAAATTACTGCTTAAAAACTATATCAATTTTTTTTTTTTTTTTTTACTCCAATTTGTGGTTTTACAAAAGGATGCTGAGGATAATATGGACTGAATTTGTGAGCAATGACAGTTTTAGGTAAACTGGAAACTTATGACAAGACAGTTAAAATTTCTAGGATACATAGGAAAGTGGGATTGGAAAATTTGATACACAAAAGACAGTCTGAAAATGAAGTGCAGAGGAGGGAGGCTTATAACTAGTGAGCTTGAGTAAATGCATGACAGAGAAATGTTTAGTAGATATAACAAAAAGATAAAAATTTATGAGCTACAAAAGACAGAAAATTGTTGAGAGCCATGATTGCTTATGTCCTGAAGGGGACATGCATATAGAAGAAGCAGTAAGAAGTTGAATGGGTTCACTTGGATTATGTATCAGAAACCCAAAATTTGAATTTATAGTCTTTCTCTATCTTCAGCATTTGTTTCTGCAAAATTTGTTGAATTTTGTCTTCCGCCCCTCCAGATATACAAGCTTCCACTGATGAAATCATTAGTCCGAAGGGTGAAATATATAATATAGGAATTTTGAGTTTTGCCTTTTCAGATACCCACTATTTTTCTGATATGTAGTTTGTTTATAGATATCTTCCAGTGTAGCTTTATGCAAAGTGTTTGTTTGTGCTGCATGTTTGTAATTAATTGAAAGTAGATGAAATAATATAAATTTCATGGTACACCTAATTTGTTTCTAATATATTTACATTTAGTTTATATTAAATTTTTTTTCTTTTATTTTCTTTTTCTTTTTTTTGTTTTGTATATTAGTAAGTACCAAGTGATGTAATGTCTTTTAACTAAAAAAAAAAAAATTCTAAAAAAAAAAAAAAAAAAAAAAAAAAAACTTTCTCTACCTGTATGAAAGAAAAATGGAAATATTGACCAATTAATGCCCACCATCATAAAATGATAGGTTTTATTTATATATATATATATATACTTTTTTTTTTTTTTTTTTTTTTTTTTTTTTAACATCAATTCACCCAAGGCAACAATGACTTAAGATGTAAAAGAGAATGAAAAGACCTTCAGAAGGAAATGGAAGCTAAATCCTAAACAGGAAACAAGGGATAATCCTCTACTCTTATTCAAAAGACTGGGGAGAAGTGTGAACCAGGTGATAAGCAATTCTATCTAATCCTAATTAGTCTATGAACTGGTGGACATTAATGGGTTAAACTTAATTAATTTGATGTATAACATTGTCATTCCTCTTTATGGCCAGATAAGGCTTTTCTTAAATACTTGGTGCACCATATATTTAAAAACTAAACTATATTTTTGGGACTTTAGTAATGGAAACTGTGTGACTGTGATGCAATACAAATTAAAAATCTTTAATCAAACTGATACCCTACCCCAAATAGGATGTTTGTTAATATATTCTGCATGGTCTCAATTGCACGTATACCATTACAGGAAAAAAATGTTCAAATTTATCTTCCTGACTCCAGTTCACAGCTGGTATCCACTCTTCAGGGGATTACATTTTGAGATATCCTATTATAATTGTGCTTGTTCCTCCTTTCATTCATTAGCATGACCATTACGCCCTGTCAGTACCTTGTAAATAATCAATTATTTCATTTTGGTCATGAGGAAAGAGAAAAGACACTACTTGGTTTCAGTGAGAAAATGAAGGAAAGAAGCGAAGATAGAATCAGAGAGACAAAATTAGCTACTACACTTTCATCTTAGCCAATAGGTTAATAATCAATTGTATTTTCTTGCTGTCCAATTCTGGCACAAGGTTAATTTAATGTGGGGAGCTTGAGTGTGTGCAACCAGGCCAGGTTAAAAAATAACCTAACGTCTATCAGTTGTGCTGGCATTGATATTACTACCAATCAACACTCTTTAGTGCAATGAGGAAGGTATTACTGCTAGCAGCTGTTACCCAATATTTTCATTTGCATGCTGTTCACAGATGCACACAACTGGGAGATGAAATGTAATACACTTTGATCCCAGCCAAAAGGCTGAGAAGAAGCTGTGGCAACTGTGATAAAATCACCATTTGTTCATAAGACAGGAATTTGGTTTCAGTGAGAAAATGAAAAAGAAGGGAAGATAAGTGTTTAAAAGGTATTTCAGTGAAATGGAAAACATCAATTTCAAATGTTTTTATTTATGCCCATTTCTTAAAACAATAATCAACATTCATATTTGATTGTTATTGCAGTATTTTGTTAAACTCAAATATTTAATAATGTGATAGAACTTGTACAGATATTTATCGTCACAGAACTCCCCGTGAGCTTACAGAATCGTTATCTTAATTCATCAGAATATTAAAATAGGAAAACCATGAAATTTTCCTAGGTTAAAACTAGTATTAATAATTTTCTCTAAAAAGTTAATATTTTTTCTTTCTTAAAGATGTTATGGCATGATGTAATGTAATTTGAAATTGTTTATGTATATTGGATGATTTTTATATAGTTTTCAATAGTGGATACAAATGTAGGTTAAATTTTTTTTTTTTTTTTTTTTTTTTTTTTTTGTTAATAAAAAGGGTGATTTATGGTTTATAGGACAATAAATATAAATGTTTTTTCTAAGTATTTAAGGATTGTCTTAATATTTAAAACAATAGTGATTTGATGTAAATACAATTACAGTTTTATATATGTAAATATTTTTTATAATTTTTTTTTTTTTTTTTTTTTTTAACAAATTAAAAATTTAAATTCAACAATCCAACCCTGATCAGTGTTTCCCATTTGCAAAACTTTGATATGGGAAGATAAGTTTTGAACATTTTATTTGTTCACAATTAATGTTCTATTTAGTAACAATATTGAGCACTTTACTTACAAAGACTGTTGCCTTCAAAGAACTATCCCTCCAGAAATGTTTTAACCCCAAAACACAACCCCTCCCTCTCTCTCTCATTATATATATATATATATATATATATATAAGCCCACGTCACACACATAGACAACCATCATTAGCATGAAGGTAGAATTTGTTCTCATCACTGAATATAATCTACTGTTCAGTCTCCAGATGACCCTCTCATAACAGCATTTATGTATGCATTGGTATTGTGATATATGCAAAAGTTTGGCTGCAAGTAAACAATTCTCAATGGTCTCCATTGACACATTTCATCGTATCTGTATTGTGTGCACTATACATTCTATCACTGCTGCCTTTACAATGCATCTGTCTTGTTGAGTATCTGTACTACATAGCTATCCAGAACTTGGTCTATGGGATTGGAATTTTTATTTGAACATCCAACATCTTGAAGATTTACCTTCCAATCCCTTTCAAAAGGTTCTAATTAAACACTGCCTTTCTTTGACATGAAACCTTTTTATTTTTATTTATTTTATTTTAATCATTTCACTCCAAGCAAGGCAATAAAGCCATTAAGACACAAAGGATTACTGAGTGTGAGAGAATGAGAAGGAAAAAGAAAAAAACTATTAAGGAAAGAGAACCATAATGAGAATTAAGACAGAAGAAAATGATTGACATTGCGTTTAAATTTTTGAAGGGCCAAAGTTGACAAGGAAACAAGTAGCCAACTTTGATATTCAAAAAGTTAAATGAAATGCAAAACCTGTCTACATAAAATCTTTTCCCCACCTCATATCTTATTTCAGTCTTCAGCATTTTCTAAAGCTCATACGGTGTACTGGGGTGAATTTTTTTTTTTTTTTTTTTTTTTTATGTTCCCAGATAGCTAAAGACTTTGACCATTACCAAGTATGTACATAATGTTCCCAGGTTCAAATTGGCATTGTCCTCAGAATGTTGCAATTTCATTTTCTGTATGTCTTTAATATTAACCCCTGAATAGTATTTAGATATTAATCTCGTCCTACTGCCAGTTTCATAAAAATGTAAATAAAAAAAAAAATATAAAATAAAATTAGTATTTGTGCTTGCTACTTAGACTATAACAATCTTGTTTTGTTTTTTTTGTTTTTTTTATTGGTTTTTATGGTATTGCACATTTTTCACTTAGAAAATAATACCAAATCTCCCACCCCCTGCCTGCCTGCCTCTTTGCCTGCCTACCAGCCAGTAAGGGTCTGCATGTTCGCTTCAAGGAGTTAGGAGAAAAAAAATCCATTTTAAAAGAGGGACATTTTTCTCCCATCAATACTCCATAGATTTTTTTTTTTTTTTTTTTTTTTTTTGTGTTGTGTTTTTTTTTTTTTTTTCTAGGTGAGTCACTTAGATATTAAAATGCTGTGCGTGTACACGCACATTATATATGTGCATGTTTGTTTGTTTGTGCATCTGCTAATGCATCTCACTTTACAATGCCTGCAACTTGAGATGTCATACTAAGCATGCAGGCATTGTCTGACTTGTATACTGCAACCTTGCTGTATGCTATATGCAGATGAACTGCACATTTTGATTGTCCTTAACATGCACAATATGCAGATGGTTTCTTGACGTAGCGCTGCATTTCTCTTTTCAGCTGTAATAAAGATGGTTTGTCTCTATTACTGGTTGGTTGAGTTAAGAACCTTATCTTTTTTTTTTTCTTTTTTTTTTCTTTCTAAATGATTTAAATTTTTTTTCTCTTTAAATGACTTGTTTGCAAAGACAGCTAGTACTAGTGTTCTACAGTCCAACTCCTTTTTGGCCTTTTCCAGCAAAACCACAAGTCATCCTCCTCGTCTCTGGTACAAGGACCCGATACCAACTCCAATTCTGTTCAAGATACCGGAACGGCAGCCAAGAAGCTGAAATCGAACAAACAAAATGCGTTCCTGCCATCCCGTGGTGATGCCACGGACAACATGGATGAAGCATATGAGCTACCCCCTCCTCCTCCACCACCACCACCTAAGCCTCACCGATCTCCCCTAGTTGAGGGGTCAAATCCACTCCACTATGCTGAACTGGAACTTGCTGTACAAAAGTCTGCCAAGCGTCGTTCAGAATATGGACAAAGGCCAAACACTGACTATGCTGTCATAACTCATAGTTAATGGAAAGAGTTTTTCTCATTTCCTTAAATGTAACTACCTAACCTTATGGAAATAGACATGTATATGTTCCACCCTGATCCACAGATTCAGGTAATCAGGCAGGCAGCCCCACCCTTTCAAACTGGTACTCACCTGTACCCACCTTATTGTTAACTCTAATTTACTGCCAAAAGAAAATGATTTACTTCATTGTCCCCTAAGTTGCTGCTGTCATAATTTCAGAGGGTCAGCAAGACTTTATCTGAAGTATATATTTTTATAATTAAACTCCTGTGAAGTGGTGAGGATATGATAGTGTCTGTGGCAGTCAGAAGGGTAGAAGGGGTGCATCTGAAAAATTCTTGAAATTGAATATCTTGAAATGTTAGCCACAAACGTTTTCATGAACCTGCCTGCTTTCTTTACTAAAGATGTGACATTTAATGGGCCATTATTTTTCTACTTGTTTTTCTATTTAAATTTTTTAAATGTCTCTGTCTTTTTTTTTTTTTTTTTTTTTTTTTTTTTTTTTTTTTTATCTGGTTATTTAACTTAGCTGTATTTTTAATCAGATATATAAATGTAGATAAATATATAAATATTTACAATATAATTTCAACTTCCATAAAAATCTAGGAAATTTCCAATTTTTTTTTTTTTTTTTTTTTTGTTTCACAAATGAAAATTTTAACAATTCAATATTGTAAATAAATATATACTTTTATTTATCTATCCCCTCCCCCCAACTATCTCCTCCATAGCTAAAATCTATAAACTCTAAAATTCTAGTAAAGCCTATCTGGGTTTAGAGAGCTATGAATCTAAAACATCCAAAGGTGTTTTTGAGAGAGAAAAAATCCCTGTAACAGATCATTTCCATTTGAACACTGTTCGAAATATTATGAATAGTATGCTTATTTCACACCAAAAACTAAAAATGTAAGTTGACTTTTGATAATATTATGTTGAGTTGGAAGTAATTTTCATTTTTGGGAACCAATATTTTGAAGAATAAAGTTGATAATCAAATTCTTGATGACTCAACATGATACTCTCAATAGTAGACTTAATTTTTTAATTCCATAGTGATAAAAAAATATTTTTGCAACTAAAATAAAATTGCATGACATAGTAATTTTACTTAATTTAGAAAAATGCAAATTGAATTTTCATGTCAGATGATAAAAAAAGAAGGTAAGATTTTGTTTGCTTTCTCTCATTGATAAAATCTCTCTGTGAAAGAATTTAAACAATGACTAGAAATATTTAGATTATTTACACATGGACTATTGTCCTGATCTTTATCTTATCTCAACTATTACACCCTCTGGCCTTCATCAGGTGCTTGTTGATCCCTGTAAACTTCTAGTATCTTCAAACTGAACCCTTTATTTAACCTCCAGGGGTAACTTGTTCTCACCCCACTTCTAATGTCTGGAATAGTTTAGAGGACTAAAGCATTGGTTTGTAAATTTGATGACATCGTAATTGTGAGTTCAAACTCAGGCCTAGGCCGTGTGTTGTTGGCCTCTGTGGAAACGGAGTAAGCAATAAGTACTAAATAAGAAACCAGACAAGATATCCTTAGACATGGGCAGTGGAAGAACAATCTACCTCCCTTAGTTTTTTTTTTTTTTTTTTTTTTTTTTACAAAAATCTGTGGAAGGCTGGACGGTATAATAGCTGAAATGTCTTTAACAGCAATGATGAGGGCAATAGTTTGTATGTAAATGATAGCTCCTCATCCCAGAAATCCTGACAGAAGTGACTAGCAATTTATTTTTATTTTTTATTTACTTTATATTTTTATACTTTTAATTCAGGTACTGATTCATTTCACTGACATGAATTAACTTAGTTTTTTTATTTTTTTTTTACTTATTTAATGTTTGGGTCTTGAGAAACTTCTCACACCACCACCGTAAGTTGAATATGGATTAGTGCTTAATATAAAATTGAATAAATTTTATTTATATTGTCATTTATTAATTTTTTTTTTTTTTTTTTTTTTTTTTTTTTTTTTTTGTATAAAACTTTTTTCAAAAAAAATTAACTACTTACCATATTTTCCTGCTTCTAAGACACTTTTTTCCTTGAAAAAAAATAAAAAAAATATCTCCAGTAACCACACTGTGTCCTATAAATCAGATTGGTGATACATCAGTGTCTTATAAGCCACAAAATACAGTAAGATTGGCTTGCATAAAAATTTTCAAGTTTATTTATACCTTTGTTAACCTTTGCTTTTTAGCAGAAATATTCTTTACCTTGTAAATACTGGATTGCTACTTCAGAAATTAATCTTTAATTCTAATTAAATATATATATATATATATATATATATATATATATATATATATATATATATATATATATATATATAAAATAATGGTGGGGGAAAGTCACAAATGATTTCTCAATTTCTGTAAATACATGAAAAACAAAAAGAGAATAACAAACTCCATCCAAAAGTTATAATTGTAGAAATTAATAAGAGGTCAGATAATTTTGGGAAAATGCTTTTCTTTTTACATGAACTTATCTTTAAAAACAAAGCATATTTTCAAGCTTAAAAAAAATTAATGGAAAAAAATTTTTTCAGGGTTTTTCCAAATTGCAACATTTTTAATTGCTTAACTGAAAAAGAAAAAAAACTATTGCTGAAGAGTACTTATTTTCTCTTTTCTATAATAATCTGAAAGTATAAATTTTTTTTTTTTTTTTTTTTTTTTTTTTTTTTTTTGAAGGAAGATATCAGATATTACCAAAGTTTCAATACAAGATGAATAAATGAAAAGTTGATACCTATTATCAATGATAAATTATTGTTGGCTGCATTGTAAGCCTTTTAGTAGGAAAAGTGATCTATTTTTTTTTTTTTTTTTTTTTTTTTTTTTTTAAATTATTGGTATATTTTGTTCCCACCATCTTTCTTAAAAATTTTAGATTTAATTTGTTTATTTATTGCAACTCATCTAAATTATTTTAGTTGTTTAAAGCAGTGGTTCCCAACCTTTTTTAGCTCATGGCTCACTTTAAACCCAGAATTTTTCTGTGGCCTATGAAATTATTATAGCGTTTAAAAAAAAAAAAAAAAAAAAAACCTTCCATTTTACATAGTTGTATCTTTCTTGGATATATTCTGTGTCTATTTATTGGGACACAAAATTTCACAATCATCTAAAATATTTTGCATTTCCAATGAAACAATCATTTACTATCAATATTTATTTTTACAATTTTTCCTATATGCAACAAACAAAACTCTATGAACCATTAAATAAGCTCTAGCCCATATATTAGCCTGGTGGCTTGGTAAAAATTATAAAATTTCTGTGGCCCACTTGAAATTTGCCTTGCCCATTTTAGCCAACACTGGAAGTGAACTGTTATGTAATCCTTCTATATGACAGTGAATGGAAATAAAAAGGACACTTATACTTGATAACTGAAATTTCTTGGGCAAATAATGAGTAAATAAAGGTTGGGAAACTTGAAATTCACAAGGTATATTGAAGGCAAGAGGACAAAAGAAAATCTACCTAATGAGCTTGTGTAAATGGTTGGGCAGAGCAGGGATTAGGGGAAAAGGCAAAAATTAAGAGCTACAAAAGGACAAAGTTGTGGAGAGCTGAGATCACCCACATCCTGAAAGGACACAGCACATAGTTTAAAATTCTTGGAAAATCATTTTATGCCTTAATCTATACATATATTTTGTCATAAATTATTATATATGGCAGATGTGTGTACTGAAGGGTTGAAAGGGAGTGAAAAGATATTCACAATATCACGAGGACAACCCTGTCACTGGGACATCAGCAAGTATTAACTTTTTTTTTATATAGGAAGTTTGAGTTACATAAAAAAAAAAAAAATTATTGTGCTATTATCCTTTATAAATATAAACAAGTACAAAAGCAAATAAATCTTTTGACCTTCCATCTCCCAAAAATTACCTTTCCTCATTGCAGCAGACATACCAACTGCTACTGGTTCAGAGACATCATTCTTGTATAACTTGTACAGCTCTTATTGGTTGCTGTGAGATTGCACCTCACTAAATGCCCCACACTCCTGGCATTTTTTCTAGATTAAGCTTAGCTTAAGTATCTAGATAGAAATTCTAAGGATTAAATAATGTAATGTGGGGCCACTGGTGTATTAATAAATTAGAATTTACTTGATCTCCAGACTTTTACTATTACAAGGTTTCAAGATAAGCAGCCACAGACTGTTGGGGCCCAAATTTGAATGAGTGTCTGAATAATGTCATACTTAGCACAATTAGTTTATCAGAAATTGGTGAGTTTTGCATACTGATACATTATTGTAGTGTTTATTCTGATGTCCACAATCTATATCAACAAACTCTTCCTCCCTGATATAGAGCACTCTTTCTCAATAAACTTAACAAGTTGTATAATGTGTGTAAAAATGACAACCCAGAATCTATCTAAAGACAACTACCTATAACATATGACAGTTAATAAATTTCACGCCAACAGTAATTATCAGATGATTACAATCATAGTCTTCTGATCGCAGTTGGCATGGAACTCTGAGTAATGGCTAGTGTCTCTAGACAGAATCCTGGTTGTGATTATTAAAGTTCTGTCTTGGGTTGGTTTCCCATTTTGGGTTTCTTTATTTTATAGCCATTGAATGCTTGATATTTTCCCAGTTTATTTTATGCCTTTGTATAAGTAGGATTTGTTTTTGTATTTTCCCTTCACTTAGTTGATTCATTCTCCATTTGTGTATAATATATATATATATATATATATATATATATATTAAAGAAAAATATACGGAAAAAACAAACAAATCCTATTATGCTGTTTTAATGTTAATATAATGTCAACGTCGGACGTTTCGGTCTAATAGACCATATTCAATTCAACATGAAAAAGACAATGGACATAAGATTTTAAAATATTTTTATAATAAAAATCTAAGCGGATTTATGAAGCAGGCATAATATCTATCTCATGCATGGTGAACACTAGACCTGGCTTCTT